ACATCTGTTCTAAATTCAACAAATCTAGTTCAAAATTATTCATATGTCTTGAAAGCATCGAAGTAGTTAAAGTCACCTACTTTTTGAAGAAGACTTTCGTACTGCATAATAAGCAGGACTCTCAGAGCTGTCTGACACTAGAAGGACATGGATGGGAAAGTTCAGCTGATAGGTCTGAAATACAAACACATTTTCTTTAAGGTTTTGTACTGTGTGTGTGTGTGTGTGCGTGTGTGCATGTGCATCAGTGCGTAATAAATGATGTAAATCCTGGTTAAAATATGCTTAAAAAAATAAATGCATCACTGAAAATTATCTTAAATTGGAACTGAAAAGTAAAATAAATTATTGTTTTTATAATAAAAGTTGCTCAGAATCACAGCCAAGGAGCTTGGGGTCATCACGATCATCTCAGACTTTGCGAAACCACAGAAGCTAGCTTTCATCACAGCAACATACTGTAAGATCTTCACGTTTTGTAACTGATATTGTTATGTTGTACTCAATGCATTTTCACAAACAGAACAGATAAAACTAAACGTGATCATAATATTATTATAAATTCTACTACAAATCTGAAAACAAAAACATGGTATGACAGGTTTATGAAAGTGTCATAAAAATATGACCCGAAAGTACAAATTCATGCAAATTCAGACATTCAAATATTCAAAGTTCCTCACCTTGAGAGCTACTCCATCAGAATAGTCCCACTGTATTATACTCTGGTCCAGTGACGAGGACAAAATCTGCAATGGACAATTTTTTAAGCAACAACCCGAAGTTCTAACTATACGTTATAATCATAAAGAATTGTTGTGTTAGCTGTGATTGTGTTCGGTGTGTATCGTGTATGTTCGTATGTGTACGTGGAGGTCACAGGTTGAAAGACCGCGCCCCATAAAATTTGACTTCCACCTGAAAGTCGGACGGAGATGCAGGTTGAATAACTGAAATAGGTATTCCAGTGATCTTGCAGGTAAGTTTTACTATATTTAATAAAGGACCAATCCATAGTTTAAATTCATACATTTCTAAATTTATATATTTATTTTTTATGGTGTTTTTGGCATTGTTATATTTTTATTTCTTTGTTCTGTCTTTCTTGTCTTTCGTTAGTGTAAATTTTGTTAATGTAATTGTTTAAAATTAATTTGTTTATATTGCTCTTGCAGATATTTGCAGATATTTGAACAATAATAATAAAGAAACATCAACCCGAGCTATCGGTCTGTTACACAATCATAAACAGCCACTCTAATTGACACATTCACAAGTCCACTTATGGAAGTCTTCAACAAGTTTATCATTACATAGCAGAATTGAATACTAGTAGTGACAGGTACGCAGATGAATTTTATCTTACTCGAAAGCACTGACAATGCCAAGACTAACTGGCCTTTCAGCAGTATGTGACTTGCAATGTTCACACAGTCAATTAAAATCTTTGTTGAAGAAAACTACATGTGTGAGTGTACCCAGGTCTGGTGGAGTGTTCACCCCCCTGTCTACATCATCATTACCGTCACTGTCTATAATTACGAGCTCCAATACGGCCATCTCAAGAGACAACCTCTAAGAGTTGACATTAGAGAGAAAGCAATCCCAAAGTGATCTCAACTACACTTAGACCCCATTCCCAGAGATTAGATCGATCCAAACTAGATCGACCTAACTCCCTGGGGGTTCACGCTAAATAGCTGTCAGCTGAGCAGGCACGAAAGTTAATTACCCCCTTACAGCTTGTAGTAGGCTGGATGGACATTTAAGTCGGATTATCTGACAGTAATCTAGTGAGACTCCCCACGGGGATAGATCAATCTAAAATCTATGAGAATACGCCCCTAGTTAGAATAACCAGTGAACACTCTAGTATCAAATGTTAGTTACCTGTAATCTGTTCTTAGGATGTTGTTTCACTCCTGTCACGGTGTCTGTGTGTCCCCGTAGCTCCCTCATACACTCCCCACTGACTGTACTGTACACTTTGATTGTGTGGCCGGCACAGCAAAACAGACACCTTTAACACAGGAAAAAAAATATCATTTGGGAAACACGGAGTAAAATGTAATTTTAATATACATAAATGTGGCTGAATTAGAAGCCGGCCTACAGAAGGCGCACACGACTGCCCGAGGTAAGCTCAAAGTATCTTCTAAGCGTATGAAGAGGGATTATGACCTGAGGATTTTGGAGCGAACTTATGCAGCTGGGGATTCAGTTTACATACTGGATTCAGCCCGAGGCCGGGGGAAGTGTAAGAAACTATGTCCCCTGTGGAAGGGTCCGGGAGTCATCGTGGAGAGGCTAAGCTCGTATTTATACCAGGTGAAGGTAAGAAATGCCGTGTTCTTGGACAATCATGACAGGTCATAACCTTGTCGAGACAGTGAGATACCTCTGTGGATCCAGCAATGGAGAAAAAATCCTGTGGTTGACTCTACAGTCAAAGGGGATGACAGGGTGTATTGTCGCTGTAGGCAGAAATGGCAGGGACGATTTATGACACAGTGCGATTATTGCAGTGAATGGTATCATGGGTCCTGTGTAAACATTACTGCGTCTGACGCCCTCTTGATAAAGAAGTATAAGTGTGAGGATTGCACACGTCCGGGCCATAATCCTGGGGATTGAGTAGAGGATTAAGGTCGAGTAGAGGATTAAGGTCGAGTAAGGTCGAGTAAGGTCGAGTAGAGAGTTAAGGTCGAGTAGAGATAAAGAGTTTAATTAGCTAAGAGTTTAGCTTAAGTCAAATAACTCTTACTGAAAATTCTTCTCTTTTTTCTTTTTAGATGGAAGAGCAGAAGTGGCTTGACCTTATCAAGCCGATCCAAGAGGCCTGCAAGGATAAGAGGCTCCACCCAAGCCATGAGTTGGTAAATGTGATTGCCAGCCGACCCATGTCCTTGCAGGGGGATGCTGAGGCACTGTTGCTGAAGCAGGTGGCACTCTCTAGGGAGAGAGATGCGGAGGCTTGGCGCAAAGATTGTGCTAAGGGCCTGGTGGCTGTAGATTTTCAATCCTGCAGTTGGGTATTTGAGCATGTTGCCAGGGTTGCCACTCCCAGAAAGGGGAAAGGTACTGGAGAGGCGTGGCATGCCACATATCGAGATTTCAGACTTCAAAAGGACACTACTTTGGAGCACAGGGTGGATACAGTGACTCCGAGCACTGTGGTTAGAGGAAGTCCAGAGGCAGCAGTGCGAGGGGAGAGTGAGGAGTCGGGGTCAGTATCAGACAGTATACTGAGGACTCCCGCTGAGTCAATGGAGGTGGACACACCTTCGAGTCCGGTGGGGAGGTCACCGTGGGCTATCCTTACCAGCTGGGGTAGTGAGATGGACTTGCGGGAAAAGCTTACCTATGCCGAGGCCGTCAAGAAACCAATTCCAAGTGATGTGGTAACGACACAGAGTAGAGAAAAGTCAACTAAGACTGGGGGCTCTTACCAACCACGGCCTTAGGGTCGGGCATGGTTAGTTAAGAAAACCAAGGTCTCAACAAGGCAGGAAACACCTCCTAAGGTACCTTCAAAAATTTCCAAGAAGGATGAGGAAAAAAGGTGTTTCAGGTGTAAGAAAGTAGGGCATGTGGCTCGGAAGTGCCTAACTCTGTCCGAGGAGGATAGGTGCTTCAGATGTTCGGAGCTGGGGCACATAGTCAAAGATTGCCCACTTTCAAGTAAAGCGGCCAAGGACCGGAAAGATGTGTCTAAGGCAAGACTAGATGACTTCAGGGGGAGTTCAACGAGCAGACGGGATGACTGCAGGGGGAGTTCATCGAGTAAACCTTCAACGAGTGGTCTCGAGGAGCTGGGTACATGGGCCCATGCTAAGAGATCGAGGCAGAGTGGTGGCTCCAGTCATGGAGGAGGTACTAGTGCCGTGGGCCCAGGACCTTGTGCGCCGAGTCCTGACTAATGTCCAACACGCATGGAACAAGCATATCCCTCCTGTGTTTCATCCGGTGTTTGAGGGCAAGGGTAAGGAAAAGAGAAGATTTCTAGCTCTTAATCTTCTAGCCACTCAGCTATTTGGGATGAATGCAAAGATGGACAGGTTATGCCAGGCCTGTGATATCATGGATCAGGGAGATCGGGAGATACCTCTGAGTAGGAAAGAGGGTGAAGACAACTTTATCCAAGGCCTGGGTTTGTCAGGCGAGTATGCCCTCAGAGTTGGATCTCTCCTGTTGGGGAAGCCTTTGCTGAGCTTAATAGCTAAATTATGGCCGTCAGATCTGGAGGCGTATAGGAGCACATGTTCCATCGAAGAGGACGAAGAGCTGTCTATTCCTAAGCCTCCAGTAGGATATGACAGTCATTGTCACGTGGATCGTGTGCGCCAGCACTTGGAGTTACCAGCAACAGCTGGGTTAAGGGATGTCATCGAGACCAGTCAGGTGGATGACAAGGAGATAACAGTGTCAGGGGTCACTGTTATATTCTGTGACCCAGCAACATATCCAAGTGCTGAGGAGGTGGCTTCTCTGAAGGCAGAGGGAGCCGTGGTGTCGGTGGGTAGGCACCCCAGACACGAGTTTGACCCAGAGGGCTGGGCATAGTTTGTACAGGCAGCCAGCAATCCGGAGATGTCTGTTCTGGGTGAGATTGGTATAGATTACACCACCTGATCGTGGCAGTGGGAAGCGCAGTTTGAAGTACTGGAAAGGGCTGTTACATTTTTAAGAGAAGACCAGGTACTGGTGCTCCACTGTCGAGGGCCCAAGGACGACTCAGCTACTGATCTGGCTTGGAGACATGTTTTAAACATTCTTCGATTGGCTGAGAATGTGAAAAGTGATCAGTTAATTCACTGTCACTGTTTCACAGGGTCAAGGAGGATGGCAGAGAAGTGGATACAGTATTTTCCCAATACCTACTTTGGAGCTACTGCCATCTTCAGGACATATATGGATATGTCGAGGAGTAGGAGAGCAATAGAGATGTTACGGTGGATGCCTGCTCAAAGGTTACTGCTGGAAACTGATGCCCCATACTTTGGATGTCCGACAAGGAGTAAGTCCACTCCAGCTTTCCTGGGGAAAGTAGCGGAAGTCGTAGCAAGAATTCGTGGGTATGACGGGTGGTACTTAAAGGCGGAAAGACAAGGAAAGACAGGTTAATGGAAGTAATAATAAGATATTGAAAGTCATATATGCCTAATCTGATACCAAAAGCGCTTGAAATGTCCTTAAATAAGAAATCCAGTCACTTTGCAGTGGTTTAAATACACAAATATTCCAATACGAAACTTCGTCCACCATCTTGGATTTCCGTAGCCGGATCTAGCGTCCTGTCTTGTGAAGCGCCACCTATCTTAGTGATTCTAGCAGACAACATACAAACTGCAGACAGCTAAAATATTTGCAAATTAAAAGATTGCAGGAGTTTTATGTCTAGAACANTGAGCACTGTGGTAAGAGGAAGTCCTGAAGCAGCAGTGCGAGGGGAGAGTGAGGAGTCGGGGTCAGTATCAGACAGCATACTGAGGACTCCCACTGAGTCAATGGAGGTGGACACACCTTCGAGTCCGGTGAGGAAGTCACCGAGGGCTACCCTTACCAGCTGGGGTAGTGAAATGGACTTGTGTGAAAAGATAACCTATGCTGAGGCGGTCAAGAAACCAAGTCCGAGTGGTGTGGTAGTGACACAGAGTCGAGACAAGTCAAGTAAGACTGGGGGCTCTTACCAACCACGGCCTAAGAGTCGAGTATGGTTAGTAAAGAAGACCAAGGACTCAACAACAAGGCAGGATGCACCTCCTAAGGGACCTTCAAAATTCACCAAGAAGGATGAGGAAAAAAGGTGTTTCCGATGTAAGAAAGTAGGGCATGTGGCTCGGAAGTGTCCAACTCTGTCCGAGGAAGAAAGGTGCTTCAGATGTTCAGAGCTGGGGCACATAGTCAAAGATTGCCCACTTTCAAGGAAAGCGGCCAAGGACAGGAAAGAAGTGTCTAAGGCGAGACGAGATGACTCCAGGGGGAGTTCATCGGGCAGGCGTGATGACTCCAGGGGGAGTTCATCCTATAAACCTGCGACAAGTGGTCTCGAGGAGCTGGGTACATGGGCCCATGCTAAGAGATCGAGGCAGAGTAGTAGCTCCAGTCATGGAGGAGTTACTAGTGCCGTGGCCACAGGAATTAGTGCGCCGAGTCCTGACTTGTGTCCTATTTTTGGATGCAATAGTCAGTTAACGGAGAAACACGCATGGAACAAACATATCCCTCCAGTGTTTCATCCCGTGTTCGACGGCAAGGGGATGGAAAAGAGAAGATTTTTGGCCCTTAATCTTCTAGCCACCCAGCTATTTGGAATGAACGCAAATATGGACAGGTTATGTCAAGCCTGCGATGTCATGGACCAGGGAGATCGGGAGATAGCTCCGAGTAGGAAAGAGGGTGTGGACAGCTTCATCCACGGCCTGGGGTTGTCAGGCGAGTATGCCCTCAGAGTGGGATCTCTCCTGTTGTGGAAGCCTTTGCTAAGCCTAATAGCGAAATTATGGCCGTCAGACCTGGAGGCGTATAGGAACACATGTTCCATAGAAGAGGAGGAAGAGCTGTCTATTCCTAAGCCTCCAGTAGGATACGACAGTCACTGTCACGTAGATCGTGTACGCCAGCACTTGGAGTTACCAACAACAGCTGGGTTACGGGAGGTCATCGAGGCCAAGCAGGTGGATGACAAGGAGATAACAGTGTCAGGGGCCACTGTTATATTCTGCGACCCAGCAACCTACCCAAGTGCTGAGGAGGTGGCTTCTCTGAAGGCAGAGGGAGCCGTGGTGTCTGTGGGTTGGCACCCCAGACACGAGTTTGACCCAGAGGGCTGGGCGAAGTTTGAACAGACAGTAAGCAACCCAGAGGTGTCTGTTCTGGGTGAGATTGGTGTAGATTACACTACCTCATCGTGGCAGTGGGAAGCTCAGTTTGAAGTCCTGGAAAGAGCTCTTACATTATTAAGAGAAGACCAGGTACTGGTGCTCCACTGTCGAGGGCCCAAGGATGACTCAGCTGGTGATTTGGTTTGGAGACATGTTTTGAACATTCTTCGATTAGCTGAGAATGTGAAAAGTGATCAGTTAATACACTGTCACTGTTTCACGGGGTCAAGGAGGATGGTAGAGAAGTGGGTACAGTATTTTCCCAATACTTACTTTGGAGCTACTGCCATCTTCAGGACGTATACGGATACGTCGAGGAGTAGGAGAGCGATAGAAATGTTACAGTGGATGCCTGCAGGCAGGTTATTGCTGGAAACTGATGCCCCCTACTTCGGATTTCCGACGAGGAGTAAGTCCACTCCAGCTTTCCTGGGGAAAGTAGCGGAAGTCGTCGCAAAAATTCGTGGGTGTGACTGGGAAGATATTCTCAAGATCACCGAGGAGAATGGGCGTCGGTTATATCTAGACCGACTGGGGCCCAGTGTGGAGTAAGAACACCACGACGCTGGCCAGGAGGGGTACGACCTGGTCAGGAGAAGAGGCTGGAAGGAGTATTCCTAGTGATGAGTACCGTGTATTGATTCCTTGGCTGGTCAGCTTGGGCTGATCGAGAAGCGACAAGGGATCTGGTAGAGAGAACAGAGTGGGCGGTCCTTGGCTGGGTCAGCATGGGCTGATCGAGTAGTGATACAAGGATCGTAAGAATGTGTTGTTGGTGTCGGATTGTAATGACTACCTCCAATCCAGATAAAGTGGGGAGGAGTGTAGTGATCCGGCATCGGTGTGTGGCTTGTCTTGGCCTCGATCCGAGTCGAGGCTGAGTGTCAGTTTGGGAGAAACTCGATAGCTGTAAGGAGTGGGTTACAGCGAGGAGCACTGAGAACAAAGGGCGACGCCATTACTGTGAAGCAAGATAGAGATAGAGGTTGGAATCCTGATTTCTAGTGGTTATCTATAGGAAAGGGATTTCGTTACTGCTAAGGTAAGCAGATTATTGGTAGAAATATCCGGAGCTAGAGTTGATTAGCGTAAGGGATTTCTATAGTTTTAACATTACAATGGGGAAGCCTACATAATATCGGTCCCACAACCTCACTGTTATCTTTACGATTATAGAATGTTACATATGATCATAGACATCATACAATAACAACAAAAAAACTGTCCAATATGGACCGCGACGCTGCTTACCTCACCAGTAGAAAAGCCCTAGTCTAAGGCCACGGCTGGGGACATCGAAGGGCCATTGACAGGTGACCCAATTAAGGAGTCCTTTCTCGTCCTTCATGTAAATCCCCTGACCTACCAAAGTCAATGGCTTAATCACAATTGTTTTAATAAAATTAGAAATTAACTAGGCATTCTCCTTATTTCGTAGAAAACAGATTTGGTAGAACTAATAGTTTCGATTTCCGCCTCACTTAATTTTAAAAGATTTTAAGAAAGACCGGTTCGATTACAGCCTATCAAAGTGTTAAGTTGTGACATTTGCCCTTTTCTAGTTAGTGACAAAACCTGAGGTTGCTTCTCTATGATAATTGGCACTCTGTCCGCTCTAAAATAATGATACAACACCGGCACGCTGTTGCCAGGAACTGCTGTCTAATAGCCTGCTAGTCGTCCATATTTGAGGAACTACACTGTATAGGTCACATGACCTATGACGCGTTGCTAAATATAGGCATGGGATTTCCCTTTCACTGCTGTCCCAACTAACTAGCTGTAACCCCTACTTTTAATTAAAAAGTGGCGAATTTCAGTGGGGTCCTGACCCCCAGGTTCCTGAAAAATTATATGACACCAATATTCCCCTCATGATATTAGAATTTTGACTAGCTAAATCATAGTTCTAAACCGTACCAAAGGGCACTGTTTGCTCTCCAAAACATCAAATCAATTAGGGGGCCTTCAGGGGCCCCAAACTCCACACCAATGGGGAGATAATTGGCTCCGTCACGTAGTCATAAAATCGAGACCCAGTTTCCTATTAAATCGTTATTTTATTTATTCTTAATTTTTGCCTCAGGTTTAAAAAATCTTAAATATGGAATATTTATGCCTAATGATGTGAGAATTGTAATCAATTATAATATTATACTTTATTCCTGACTCGGACAAAAATGAATAAAAAGTGAAAATACAACAGAATAGGCCTACTGGTAAAAATAAATAAATATGATAAAAAATTAGATAATTCTAATCAAATATAATCAATTAATGAGACTAGCAATGTCCTAGAGTCTATATACAGTAAATAAAAAGAAGAAAAATGCAGTAGAACCTCTTAAATTTTGTGTTATTATTTTTATCACTGTAACACCAAAATATCACATTTGCAGATCTCTAGGTAAGTAAAACCACAGACTGATATGCACATACCAGTATATGAACTCATTCTGACAAATTCAAGGTTTAAAGAAAGGGATGCATAAAACTGATACTCCATTATTCTTCTCTCATATCAATGGTTATATATTATACTTGTTAACTCAATTAATAATAATGAAAAAGCATCATCTATAGGATTCAAATTTAGTTGTACCGGTACTGGTAATATTTTCACGAGTGATTTATATATGCTTAAATCATGATATTACATAAGTCATTAAGATATAAACAGTGACCTGTACATATCATTCATCTAAGTAAAGAATAAATCTATTTTATCATCCTATTTGGAGACCATGGAAAACCTGTTTCATAGTTGCAATAAAAATCATATCACAGAGAGGAACAAAAATAATGAGGTCATTCTGTAGGGCTATCTTTTCAAAGTTAATCATATAGTCATTACACTTAAGAAGAGGAATCAATTAAGTGTCTCATTATGTGTATAGATTCTGTACTGTACAGGACGGGATTGCTTGTTCATGATATGTTATACAAGGGGTAAATCTAGAGGTCATTTCCAGATGTGTACAATTGGTGCAAAAGGTATTTTCGCCAGTTGTAATTAATTTTTGCCAAGGTTTGCCAAAGTATAATACTAATAATAAAAAAATAATAATGATATTGATGCTGAAGTCCTAATTTTTCAACTGTCCAAACAGACATAAATATTTGTCCACTTGTCAATGAATTGAAAATTCACTGTCCTAGTTTTATTGAAATAAACCATCCAGGGTATTTACCAAGGGCCTGCATGGGCTCTCCTACTGTTTTGGCCAAAAATATACCAGCTTGGTTAACATGGAAGTTATGCATGGAACCTGTTTCTTTTTGCTCATTGCCTTGGAGGCTGCATTAGACTCAAACTCGTATGCCACTTTCCTGTTAACAATGGTCAACAAGCTTAGGATGTCCAACTGTTGACCGTAGTCTCCCAGGACCTGAATGAGTGCCTGCATGAACCAAGATCCATTCGTCGGGTTACGCCAAGAAAAAAATCCTGGGAAAAAATAAGTATTGTCCATAACCTTTCCCGAGAAAGAAGAATTTTTACCACTTATTTTTCCATTTCTTTTTCTTATATTTTAATTTCCTTTTTTTGTAAATTATGTTTGTACTTAGTTGTGGCAACTAAAGTTCATAACCATAAAGCGCTATGCACAACAATGTACAGTCATTCAAATTTTCCTCAAATAAAAAAATTCAAAACTCAAGAATCTATCAACCATACCTACCTGGCACCACAGAGTAAGCAATGAGGAAGTCTGCCTCGGCAGGAATTTTGTGCACATGGTTTCTACCGTCTAGCTCATCCAGACCTGCTTCATCAGCGACCTCTACACCTCCATCTAGTTTAGTGCCTCGACAAGCCTGCGAAATGAAATAAAGTGTATATAAAAAAGAGAAGTCCAACACAATTGCACAACTTTGACATTTTAGGACCAAGAAAGTTTAGTTAGGCAAGATTTAAAATAAGTTTAGCTAATACCAAAGAGAAAATCTGTTCCATGGTATATTGCATAAAATAAAGGAAAATTTGAGTAATATAAAAANCAAGATGGCGGACGAAGTTTCGTATTTGAATATTTGTGTATTTAAACCACTGCAAAGTGACTGGATTTCTTATTTAAGGGCATTTCAAGCACTTTTGGTATCATATTAGACATATATGACCCTCAATATCTTATCATTACTTCAATTAACCTGTCTTTCCTTGTCTTTCCGCCTTTAAGTATAACCGGGGTGTGACTGGGAAGACATTCTCAAGATCACTGAGGAGAATGGGCGTCGGTTATATCTAGACCGGCTGGGGCTCAGTGTTGAATAAGAACACCATGTACAGACATTTAATTTTATTCAGGTGTTCACATAAATGATTAACGTAGGTCCTAACTTTTATTTACGAAGGGTGGAGTGAAAGTAACGTGCCAACTACTAACGCAGAGTGTTTATGAGAGAGAGAGAGAGAGAGAGAGAGAGAGAGACTCACTTAGCATCTTGCGAAAACAATGGTCTAAATTCCACAAGGCTTGTCCCTCCTCTTGAAACCACGACGGTATTAGAAGACCTTTCACCCTCGTGCGCCGTGGGAGCAGACATCTTGTCCTCCATGTGGCGAGAGGAATTCCTTCAAGCTTTTGTGTTGCACGTCGTGATTGGATGAATCTATTCGCAAACTAATTTAGACCAATCACAACACTTATGAGATGCTATCTAGGCCAGTGAACGCATGCGTATAAGAAGAGTCACTCTCTTCCGGTGTTGTTGCTGCACGCCTGCTACATCAAATATGAGTCCAACCATGAAAGGTAGAATTTCTACGGTTGTAGGCCTCGCCCAGCGGTTATTCCACATTGGGTTTATACCACTTGTGTTGTATCTAGGTAAGGCGATGACTTGAACGTCTGTGGCGATTCTTACTTTGACGTTGACTTTGGGAAATATATTTAGTCTTAGACTGAGGCAAGGTGTTGTAGTTTTGTCTTGAGTTTGAATTTGAACCTACACCTCACTATGTATACTGCATCATATGTTGGAACTTAAAAATAAAATTTACTGTTATAGGGCGAACAAAGTAAAAATACACTGTAAATTTAAAGAAAAAATAAAGATATGAATCAAAAAGTTAAATGATGTAATCAATGTATATCATTGCTCTTTATTTATTTTATTTATTTATTTATTTATTTATTCAGGTTATTCACATGGTCCAGAACCAGGCATGCCAGAGTTTAACCTTCTCAGGTGAGATGACAGGACATTCAACTTCCAGCATGATACATGTGTTTACTGGTGCACACAACAAACATCAACCATATCACATAATTTTAAACTGTAATATTTAATGAGCTTGATGTCAGTATTTCTGGTTTAAAAATCAAAGCTTCTGAAGGTGTCACTAAGTCATATTTTTCTCAATATCCTGGTCAGCTACTTCTGTTTCCCAATTAAGTCATTTAAAATGGTTAAAATCCCTCAGAGTGCACCTAATATCAGATTTGTAATTAAATTAATGAAAATTTAAACTGTTACAAAGCATCTAATGAAAGAGATTAACATAGTTGCAAACAACATTCTTTGCTTTCTTATCTTTGTAATGGGAAAGTGAAATTGGGCATGTTAGTCTCAAACAGGATACCAGAAGATAAACCAGTGGTTCACAGCTGTTGTTTTAGTTTTTGTCTTGTTTAGATATTTTTGCAAACTAATAAAGGGTTCTTTCTTTTTCAGCCTGTTTCTCACTTTTTAAGGCAGATACCTGGGATTTCCACTGTCACTCCAAGGCGCTTGTTCCATTCACTACTACTAGAGGGCAGAACTGAGGCTTGTTCCATATACTACCACTAGGAGGCAGTGCTTAGATCCAGGTCGACACTAGAGTGCGTTCACAGAGGAGACCACCATATCTATGACCTTTGATATGATAACATTATTTCAGAGATAAACTATGAACCATTAATGATGTTATAGGAAAAAAAAAACACTTTCTGGGAAGTAACAAGATTTCCCTTTCCTGGAAATGAATGAGAAAAACTTGTTTTGTGAAAACTGACTCTGCTGCAAATGTCACATGTCGCTGTGACCCGATCACTTCATAACGAAACATGAAAAGGAAAAAAAAAATTACAGAAAACGTAAACAAAGGCTTTTTGTCTTTCATTTATTTTCTAAGTTGATAATTTTTGGTGTAATCTAACATCGTAAAATATGTGTTGTACATGTAAATTGTTCTTCATCGTAAAATCATTGTGCAAGATTATGTAAGATGATCAGTTATATTGTATAGATTATTTTGTACATATTTCAGAATTTATCTTGAACTGCTTTCTCATTCATAGGGATGGCGGTTTAAGAATAAATCTCAGACGGGGAAATTAAGTCTGTGGTCTTTTGTTATTTTTACCACATTCTGAAATGAGGAGAAAATATGTTTGTCTACAACTTACTTTTGATAAGGACAAGACCAAAGACTTGCTAACAGACAACAGAATATAAAAACAAGGCAGCAAAGCTGTCAAATGTACAGACAAAAAACAGAAAATAAAGATGCAAAAANGCGACGGCGACGGCGACGGCGACAGCGACGGCGACGACGGCGACGACGGCGACGACAGACGCAGATGATGGCTATATGTACAGACACATCTGTGTCTGTACATAAAAACTGTCTGAACTCGAGACCTATGCCCCTCCCCCCTTGATTCACTTTTTTTTTTTACCCAGCATGCCCATTTGTCAACATGAATGGGAATACTGTGGCAATGGTCACTTAATAATCTTGCTGTCCTTTTATTTGGTACCCTTTTAACTTTAAACTACTTGGGTCTGAAAATGTTTTGCAAAATTGGACCAAGCTCGGGGGGAAAAATGTTGATGCGTGAAAATATCTCGAGAAATTTGTACCAGCAAGAGAGGTGTGTATAAGGTGCCATACCATAATTATGTACTGACATTAATAAATGAATGCATATGACAAGAACTCCACATATTGTTTGAAAGAACTTTATGTTGAGACAATTTCAATTTTTTAACAAAAACAGAAAACAAAGCTGGAGAAAAGGCAGTTCAACATAATACAACTCTACCCACTTAAAAAGTGTCTAATTCAAGCTCTATGCAGGTAAACTGCACCACCCTAAATAACAAAATTCCTTTGGAACTAACCGTCCTCCAAATAAAAAACTCTGGGATCATGTTCACATAAATACAATTTTATTTTTTTCAAACATCGTTCTCACTTCCATCACCCTTCCCCTTCCCAATCCAGTTAAAAGCACAAACGCTGTGTCGAAGAGAGGGTCACATTTCCCTTTTGTCATGCACCTCTAGCTGCTCTGATGGGGGGACCATAGCAATAATCCCAAGGTTCATTGGTCCGAATATTCACTACAGAACCTTGATTAAAAAAAAAACGCTGAATATGTTACCATTTTTTGGACAAATGAACCTTCGAACTTTCGAGACGCTCCCGTTCTGATTTACATCCTGATTTTATTGTCAACCAAATGCTAGTTATTTCATTTGCAACTTTCACCAATAGAAAACCAATACACTGATCTTCATCAGTTGTTCTATCATTTTATCACAACACAGGTAATAAACACCTGTCTAGAAGCATGAAATTGGTCCTTAATTAATTAATATGACCCATAGCTGACTAATACCACATAGCAACAAGCAATCACATTTATGTTTGTGGCCAGACTTACACAATGTCAATACCACCTCGATTTTCTTTAAGTAGAATAACAAAACATTGACAAAGGATGGCAAATTTAAAAATATAAGGCAATAGCTTTAACTCAGATTAAATTAAGATTGACAAATTGTTTTTACCCCTTTATTTTCAGAAAAAAGGTTACTTGAAGTTGGGAGTAATTCTTATAAATATCAAGTGGGAAACGAAAGACTTGTAAATCACACCTTCAAGCAATGTTATAAGTGCCAGAGAAGATAAATATGTAAAACAAGCTCAGTCTTATATGATATCCAAATGTACATATTAATCTAATAAAATTCCTATTCTACATTGATTTAGTTCCAACATTTCTGTTCCTCCTTTGTCATTGCCCACTTCATTGATGAGGGAATCCAGCCAGATAAAAATGCTGATAACATTATATATTTTAATGTACAGGCAAGACCTGAAGGCACTAGTAATACTAAACAACCATACTTACTCACAATTTCAAACACCTTAATTCCAATATTGAATTTTTCTCACAATTTTTTCAAATTTTTAAATTATTCAATATCATTTTATATACATCAAATGCATTTCATCACAACTCGTCAAGAGCGCCGGGCAGAACTTTTCCCTCTTCAACTCCCAATAATTACATAACTCCAAATAATCTCCGTGCACAGTAGGCACAATTGTATATATAGGTATATGTGTAAAATACCATGGATCCACATAACCTGACAAATAGAATAGAAATGTTCATGTTGCGTATGCACAAGAAAATATTTTAGCACATATGAAATACAAATTGGTTATAAATATATCACCATGATTAGACGTCTGCACACCAAAACCACCATAGGTGCAGACAAAAATTCAATAAATTAAAGAAAGATTATCAGTCAACAAATTTTAATTTGCTCTGAAAGACTGTAGACAATGGGAAAGGGGCTTGGTGGAGGGGGGGGGATGCTAACCAGCAATTGCACAAACTAAGTGTGACCATAAACACTTCAATGTCAGATCTGTCTGGAGATGAGGCCGACTTTTTAATCAAAATATTTCTAAGTCTATTAGCATTCCTTGAGAACAATACTGCAAAGCATCTCCAAGCCATGAAAATATATTTTTTTCTATCACGATAATATCCAGGGCTTCTATATACAAACTTACCTACACAACACAAGAAATATACACAACACCAAAAAACCGTGCTTAAATACATTGAAAACAAACCCTGTGCAATCATAACTGGGTACTATAAATATTGCAATCTTGAATTTTGATTTTATCAAAAAGATCAAAGAAAAGTTTTGATGAAAAGAAACAAGAAGGTCATCAGCTAAGAGATATTATGTTTATGTTAGTTTCTGGCTTGTAAAAAAATATGAAACACAGGCACAGATATGCAAAGAATGGCAATTTTTTCCTTCATATTGCCACAATTAATATATATTTACTATAAATAAGCACCCCCTTCCAGTTTTATTCTTAATAAACAGTGCCAAGAGACAATACGCATCTTGTATACTAAACAGGAAGTTAATATTAAGTTTTTATCCTGTGCGTGTAATCTGAGCTCAAAACTCAGAAGAATGTGGGCGGGGCTTATGCATTTTAATGCTAATCCCAACTTGTCAATCAAAAAGATAATGACAGTCCACGTCACAGGACCTGTTCTTTCTCCTGCTTCATATAATAAGGTGCTGTGTCAGTTTGCTACAGCTTTGTAGTAGAGAGATGGGAACAAAGTTCAACTCCATAAGAGTGTCACACAGTTCAGAGTCCTTTCAATAAGGGTGGAGCTCTGCTGAAAGGGGCGGGGCTTCCACCCAAAAATGGGCAGGGCTATGCTGAAAACTAGGTGTGGCTTGTGATGACAGCTACTAGTTCTGGGTTTTGCGCCGCGGGGTCCGTAACTGGTGGCGTTGATGATGGCTGATATGGCGGGGGCTGGGGAATAGCGGCAGCACCTAATATGGAAAAAATTCTGATATTTTTATTTGTTCTTAAAATTATTTTATGTCAATATCTAAAGTACACTGCTAAATATACAACTTTAATGAAGTATTCTATTAAATTATCTTGGAAAAAAAGTCATCATTATCATCATGGTCCTGTACCTGAGGAGACCTGTTGTTGGGAGTTGACTGCAGTATTTGTATTCTCTGTAGTGGTGGCGGCTGTTACCACTGGCTCCCCTGGGTATGGGGGCAGATCCTGCTTTGATGGGGGGTATGCATCTGGTTTGGAAATCACCTGGAAATATCAGATAGAATGAGGAAGAGTTTGGCATAAAATCTGTTAATAAGAAAACTCTTCACAAAGTAAAAGATATTCTAACAAAGAAGTTGGGCTACTCTGGCTCAATGTCACTCACATATAATAGGAAATCCACTTTGAAATCCTTTTATAAGTCATCAAATACTTGTACATATTTCTGGATCAGTCTAAGGCTTAGCTCGACACACTGCTAACATCATATAGCCAGCTAACTGAAACCAGACAGCCAACTAAGGCCAGCTTTGCTATATTGGTCTTGTAGCTAGCTATTTCAGGCCTACCCAACTACCAGACTCGGCACCAAATGATCCTGAATTCACCGGTAGATCAGACCACACTACCCGTTTTCAAGGTGTGTGTCAGATCGCATTACACAGTATCATACCCTGAACAAATTTGGAGTGGTGATGCAATGCTTTTCAACCCCGCTGAGAATCGTCACTATCACATCGCGTACTAGGCAAGAGCGGTGTCGCGTCTGCTACTGTGTAATGCAATCTGACACACACCTTGAAAACGGGTAGTGTGGTCTGATCTACCGGTGAATTCAGGATCATTCGATGCCGAGTCTGGTAGTTGGGTAGGCCTGTATTTGTCCACAAACAGTATACTAGTAGTTGACAGTCAAGAGTGTTCTAGGGTCACAGCTACACTGGACAATTTGTGACCACACAACTGAATTGTCTATATTCATAGCAGTCTTAGCTAAGACAGATTTTCTACTAGCTACAGTTATAAAGCAGAACAGGTCTCTCTGGTGCTATATGAGTGGCCCCTACCTCTGCATAAGGGGGTGGAGATGGGAAATTCCCCTGGGCTTGTTGCTGGGGGTATGGCCCCCCATACGGGTACATCTGGGGGCCTGCAGGGTTGGTATAGTCCATGGAGGGTATGAAGAGATGACCCTGCTGTGCAGTGGTGGTGCGTTGCTGGGCCAACATCCACTGGCGACGGCGCCAATAGCCACATGCTCCAAAACAGGACAGAAGGATGAAGATGATTATGAACCTGAAGAAGAATTGGCAACTGATGCAATGAATGTATTATTTTTTATAATAATTCTTTTCATGAAAAGATCTTGACCATCAGGTACTAGTATGCTTATTTTTGGTCAAATTAATTCCTTCATTTACATTTTGAACAAAAATATACATTTGTTAAATCTTAATTTCTTAGAAATTGCTACAGATCAAAAATTTAAATTTTCTGTAGCTTTTACTGGCAATGTATCATCTACAGATGTGCAGCAATTTTATCCATGTTGGATATAAATAAAAATTAAAAATTTTGTTTTCATTAAGGCTGCCCAAATTCAGGTTACTTTCTCGTGTTTCAATCTTAAATCATGAAACTGAATATCTTACCAGAAATACCACATGTTCCAAATGCTCCAACTGTAGTAGTAGCCATCATAGCTACAACAACCCTCACTGCAGCAGCCATAGTCACAGCTGAAACAGAAACAAGGGAGATTGTACAATATATCACAGGTAGACCAAGGTGGGAGGGCTGGGGATTCGCGGTGGGGAGGGAGGGGGGGGGGGGGGAGTCCCATACCCGGAGAGAAAAAAAAAGCTTAATAGAGACCCTTTCATATACTACCACTCCAAAAACGAACAGAACTTCATCTTTTATTCAAACATGTTATCTGCTATTTTGGAGTCAGTCCAAATCAAGGGATTAGTTTCTCCCAACTGGCTAGAACTTCAGCTGTTGTAGCCACTGGCATAATTCTTCTTACAAAGCATACTGAATCATGGAACTTAATGAAGTGTCCATGAAGTGAAATGTTGCCTTTGCTGGCAGCAGATCGTTGCATGCGAGAGGAGTAGTGCAGACATATTACAAGACACTGCACCTGTGCACAAACTAACAGGCTATCTGCTTTTCATGGGCAGAAGACAACTATTTTATGGATACTAGTAAACATTTGCAATACTTTGTGTATTATTATTTTTATTTTGTCTAGTTTGGCAAAATTGTAGTAAATTACTAAATCAACTTTAACTTCATCCAAAATGAAAAGTAGTCTACAATTCTTTAATCAATTCATCCTTATATGACAGCGGACATTAATTTAAAAAGGTAAAATGTTGTGTACAATCTGGCTGACAAACACACATATGTATCATGCATGATAGCGACATACACCACGCCCGGTTCTTGTTCTCCTCACCCACAAAAACTAAGTCACATACACCACTCTTCAGCAAGATGCATGTGACGTTCACGCACACTTCTCAGCCACGCATGTCACACACACACACACACACACACACACACACCTTGCTGCCTTGTGTTATCTAGCAGAAATCTAAGAGTAATGGTGATAATCACACAAGCATACATATTCCAAGAACTACATATTGAGAAAAACCCCTGAGGGAGTCATACTCACTATCTCTGAAAATCTTGGCAGAATTCAGCTGCTACCTGAAGAGACAAAGAAAGTAAATTGAATATATTATGTCAACAATGATGAAATCTTGATCTTTTAACATGAAATAGTTCACAAAGAAAAAAAAAAACAGATAAAACTATACCACACAGTCAGATAATGCAAATTCTGCACACATAACTAGTACTGCCTTCATACTTCAACAATTAAGAAAACTGCTTTGTTCTTTAAAAGCAAAACTTAGTAAGATACGGAAACATCCTGATAAAATGTTTAGGATAGGTCGTAACGGGCTTACTAATACTTGGAATCGATAAGGTTTTGGTAGTGATCCAATAAATAATCAATAATGTGAAGTGAGCTGCCTTATAACACAACCAGTGCTTTATGAGTGCTTTTCTACTTCAAATAATTATGCTTCCCTGTTTACTATAAAGTTTCTTGTATTATTGACATTTTTCCCTACATGAAAATGGATGCTGTAGACTTTAAGAAGACTACAATCACCTAGACTTGGTGACCCTACAGATATATCTAGGCCACTTTCATCTCTGCCACTCCTTTATGATCCCCAAATGGAAACATTTCTTCAAAAACACAATAAAGCAGACAGGTAACCCCAATAGCAGACAAACTCCCAAGAGGTCAGGGATAAATCAGTGGAAAGAAAGGCCCTTGTGTGGTAAATGTCATCCCTTTTTAAAGCAACACTGAGAAAAAATAAACAATTTCCTTGCAACTGGCCCAAGCTTTACCAGTCCAGCAAAGATCAGAAATGCCAATCACCTGCCTTGTATTACAGCCGACCTTTCTCCAAAGTAATGTGTCCTCAGTTATGCTGACCTAACTGACTGACCTGAGATGACCCGAGATGACCTCAGCTCCTCTTTAAGTACACATATCAGTTTAATTATTAATTGGATATTCAGAAATGGTCTTGAATGCCCTCTACAAATAATCTGTTTAGTCTGTCAAGGTTTGGGAGTTAAAATCCATTATAGATCTATTTGAATGTGGGTATCGACTTTTGTTTGAATCCTCCATTTTGTTTAAATGTGTACTTTGTTTACGTTTTAGTGGGAGGATCACATTCAAGAGAAATTCCTATCATACCAGCTCCCTCCTCAGATATGACCAATTACCATTCACACAAATACTTCTGAGATGTGTGTGCTATCAATGGTTGATATATCGTCTGAAAAATACTGCCACTTTACTATCAACACATCTACTAGCCACTAATAATGTTTAAACCCGTTTGTGTTTATACTTTCTTTTTCTGCCCAAGAAAGGCAATCTATTTCCATCTTATCTACATGTAACTGTTTTCTTCAGCCAAAGGAATGGTGTTTTTTTCACTTTATTTTAGGTTTAACTAAATACTTATCATGATATGTTCAAGACATGTCCTAAAATACAGCAGGATTCAAGGTAGTGTTCAGACTTGTCATGATGTACAAATCGCAATATATTCCTCAGACATGTTAATTGATTTTAATGGAGTCGCAGGCATGGGCATGGGGCTCCCATTAGTATTGTACTAGTAATTGCTCCTAGCTAACTCTTATTGGTCTTATTTGTCTTCCTATACTAATTGCTTTTACCTAACTTTATTATACCCCATGGTATTATTAAGAAGTCAGTACAACGATTTTATTTAAAGATCTCAGAAAAATTACCAATTTGAAAACACCAAGACTTCCTTTCTGTATCCTCATTCAGAATTTCCATGCAACACTGCCACTAAAAACATGGTATCAAGTTTTGCAATGATCATGAAATATTCACTTAGAAAATAATGATTATCTAGCTCACAGATGAATCATCAAGATAAAAATTTTATTCATCTTGTAACTCACGCACAATTAATACTCTTGGTTTTGGTCTACAATATTGATTTCATCTGCCTACGAAGAAGAAAAAATATGCTCAAATATATCCCAACATCACACAAATTAATATCTGCTGACCACAAAAACTCATTTTTTTTATTTGTGATTGAAATGCAGGTCAAATAAGGATGGGGACCCTTAGCCACACAACTTACCTGAAGTCAAGAGACCTTGAAGATCTCACCACAGTAAATATCCTTGTTATTGAGTGTCACCTGTACACAGTATCGATCAACAAAAAAACACAAACAAGCTGCTTTATTGTCAGACTTGACAAAATTAATTATGTAGACCAGTGAAAAAGTGAAAGACAAACACAGCAGAAAACCCGTTAAAATGTTTTTTAAAAATCTAATGAAAACAGAACAAAGTAATACTAAACCTATGCTGACAACCTACATTCAAACAAAAGTTGAGAAAATGAAAAAAATAAAAATAAACAAGGCAGCAAAGCTGTCAAATGTACAGACAAAAAACAGAAAATAAAGATGCAAAATAGGTCATTTTGTCAATTTTGATGCAATAATAAATAATGCTTATAATAGCACTGTCAGTCAACACTGAATTTTAATCATGCACAACAGGTAAAATGGTCAATAACATGAGCGGACCCAGAGATATTTTCTGACAGTATTCCAAAGTATCTATTTTGATCCATCCTCCATTTTGATGGTCTTCCAACAGAAGAAAAAATAGATACCAGGCAATATAAACTTAATAACCTGACTGTCTTCCGGAAGTCCCAGAAGATGGTCTCAATCTACCCTTTCAATAAGATTACAGTTTCAGGACCATGAGAGTTCAAATTCACATGATGTAAGTCTCAATATTTGAAAAATGATGACAGTGCATAAAATAATATTACATAAGTAACATAATGTTTAAAGACATAAAAAACAATACAACT